CTTAGCAATGTTCTCCTAGGGCAGACTACACCCAGGCAACAGAAATAAAAGCAAAAATAAATAAATGGAACCTAATTAAACTTAGAAGCTTTTGCACAGCAAAGGAAACTATAAACAGGATTAAAAGACAACCTACAGAATGGGAAAAAATATTTGCAAATGATGTGACTGACAAGGACTTAATTTCCAGAATATACAAATAGCTCATACAACTTAATAACAAAAAAACAAACAACCCAATCCAAACATAGGCAGAAGACCTAAACAAGCAATTCTCCATTGAAGACATACAAATCGCCAATAGACACATGAAAAAATGCTCAGTATAGCTAATTATCAGAGACATGCAAATCAAAACTACAATGACGTATCACCTCAAACCAGTCAGAAAGGCCATCACTCAAAAGTCCACAAATGATAAACACTGGAGAGGGTGTGGAGAAAAGGGATCCCTCCTACACTGCTGGGGGGAATGTAGTTTGGTGCAACCATAATGGAAAACAGTATGGAGATTCCTTAAAAAACTAAAAATGGGCTTACCATATGATCCAGCAATCCCACTCTTGGGCATATGTCTGGAGGAAGCTCTAACTGAAAAAGGCAAATGCACCCCAGTGTTCATAGCAGCTCTATATACAATAGCCAAGAAATGGAAACAACCTAAATATCTATCTACAGATGACTGGATAAAGAAGTTGTAGTATTTGTGTACAGTGGAACACTACTCACCCATAAAAAGTAAAATAATGCCTTTTGCTGCAACATGGATGGACCTGGAGATCTTCATTCTAAGTGAAGTAAGCCAGAAAGAGAAAGAAAAATACCGTATGATATCACTTATATGTGGAGTCTCAAAGAATGACACAGTGAACTTATTTACAAAACAGAAACAGACTCACAGACATAGAAAACAAACTAATGGTTGGTAAGTGGGGTGTAAAGGGATAAATTGGGAGTTCGAGATTTGCAGATACTAATTACTATGTATAAAATAGATAAAGAACAAGTTTATACTGGGACAGAGAATTATATTCAATATCTTGTAGTAACCTCTAATGAAAAAGAATATGAAAAGGAATACATGTATGTACATGTGTGTATGTATTCTGTATACCAGAAATTGACACAACATTATAAACTGAATATACTTCAATAAAAAAAGAAAAAGACTATTAACAAACAAATGAACCTCAATTTTATACCATTCAAAAAATTGATTTGAGATGAATCATAGATCCCAATGTAAATACTAAACACAAAATTACTTAAAGAGATTTCTTAGGACCCAGGAAACATCAACCATAATAAAAAATTAATTGACAAAATGGATTTAAACAAAATTTTAAACTGCTCATCAAAAAGACACTATTAAGAAAATAAAGCCACAGACTGGGAGAAGATATTTCTAATACATATAACTGACAAAATACTTGTATCCAGAATAGATCCTACAACTCTATAATGAAAAGTTATAACTTTTTCTTTTTAAGGCAAAAATACTTGATCAAAGATTACATAGTTGGTTAAATAAGCATGTGAATAAGAGCTCTATACCGTCAGTCAGGAAAATTCAAATTAAAAACACAGTTACCACTACCACTTCATTCACTAGAATGGCTGAAATAAAAGAGATAGAAAGTATTAAATGTTGTTGAGATGTAAAGCAGTTTCATAAATTTCTAGTGTAAATGGAAAATGGTATAACCACTTTGGAAATACCTTTGGAAGTTTCTCATAAAGTGAGACATTTACCCTTTGATGCAACAATTCTTCTACTTAGTGTATATCCAAGAAAATGAAAGTATGTGTACACAAATTTGAATTTCACAACAGCTTTATTTATGATAGCCAGAATCTTGAAGTAACTCAATTGTCCAACAACAGAAGACTGAACAAATTGTAGTTTATTCAGAGTAAGGTGCTACTCAGCAAAACAAGAATGAGCTACCAATACATTCAGTAACATTGACAAACTACAAATTTTACGAGTTTAAGAAGCCATTTAGTGTGATTCCATTTATATAAAATAATAGCATAGACAATACTAATCTACAGTGAAAGAAATCAGTGGTTACCCTTGAGAGGGATGAGTTTTGAGACTGATTGGAAAGCAGCACAAAAGATCTCTCTGGGGTGATTCTAGTGTCCTATATCTTGATGGGGTGTGGTAGCAGATATATCAAATGATCACAACTCATTGAACCCTTAAGGTCTGTGCATTTCATTTCATGGTCAGAAAGATTATATGGTTAACATACATTGAGCATTTACCATATTCTAGGCACTTTTAAAAGTGCTTACATGTATTTAAACATTTATTCCTAACAATTCTATTAGAGAAATGTCATCACCACCATTTTACAGATAAAGAAAGAGAGGCACAAAAAGGACATGTAACTGCAAAGATTATATAACTAATAAGTAATGGAGCTGGAATCCATATCCAGACAGAGCCCAAATTCTTGCATCCCTGGGAGGAGTACATTTAAAAGGTATTGCCAGTAGGGTTTAACCAGAGGGAGTTGGCTAACAGATTAAAGAATAGAATACAATTTCCAATTCCAAATTTTAAAAGTTTTTTTTCTAGATGTAGGAATACTTAAAATATTTGTTTCAAAGAAAATAAAGCAGATAATTTAAAAAGCAGCTATTAACTCTTGAAATATAAAGAAGTTGTATAAGGAAAGAAAAGGTAGTCATAGAGCATCAAAAAGAAAGAGAAAGAATGAGAGAGCATTATCTTGGGAGGATAAAGTTGGGGAAGTAAGGTGTGTAAGTGAACTTAAAGTCTTACTTACCATAATAGGAAGTGAGCAGATAATGTCTAAAATTGATGAACCAAGAGATATAATTTAAAAATATGGAAAGAGGAAACAGTTAAGAGTTGACAGTATGATTAAATGAGAGAAGTAACAAAGGACTACATTTTGTATAAAATCGTTGGCACTATTTGGCTTATATTTGCATACAATATCATGATAAGCAAATTTTTAATGTTTCTTAAAAGAAGCCTTTCCTGAACCTCCCCACCGCTCCCACCCCAAGCCCCCTCTGTACTAACTGTATATAACAGATGCCGCATGTCTGACTCCCTTCCCAGACTGGAAGGACTGTCACTCAATGTTGTATCCCAGGAGCCAAGTGCAATGTCTAACACGTACTAAGTGCTTAGCACCTATGGGGAATGGATGAATGTGATTACTGTTGAGAAAACCAGCTGAAAGCCTGGAATTGGGGCATAATGGGCTTTTTAGGAATTGGACCCAAATTTATAACAGTAATAATAATAATAATAGTGTAATAACAAGGTTCATAATTATTATTGGATAGCTGGAAACCCCAATATCTCCATTCCCTATAACCTGGATTTTACCAGGCCATGGTGTTTCACCAAAACTGTGGCATGCATACTGAGTTTCTCCCTTACATTTCATTTCCTGTGCTGGCCTTCTAACCAGATCCTCCTCACTTTGTGCTTCAACTACTAACGGAGACTACCTACTTCTTCTGTGCCTCTGTCTCTTCCCTGTCTCAGCCTTCTTCCCACTACCCCTTTACCACCCCAGATATTCCTGCATCAGGGTTAGTCCAAACTTCCCAATACTCTACCTTTGTCACTTTCTCCTTTAAGAACCACGGTGACACTTTAGCCTCTGGGGTCCAAGGTTCTCTTCCCGATCTTCTAGCTCCTCCAGAACCTGACCTCACTTCCTACAGCTCCCCAGAGCACACCATCCCAGTGGTCAAGGCAATCTCATTATTACTTCACACTTAGTCTTACTTCCTACCTTTTATTGCACCAGACTCCTTTTCCCCCAAAAGACCAGAGCATCCCTATGACCTGGGAATATAATGTTACTTTTGAGACATCTACAAAGAAAATAATATTTAATCAATAATTTACTACAATCTCTTTTGCTTTTCTACTATGGAAACAAACTCAGGTTCTCCTCTATATTAAAATCAACACTCCTAAATGGAATTTGACTTTAAAATAACATTATTGTTTCCTTTATCAATTAATATAGCTTTCAATTTTGATAGATTAATAAAATAGGCCTTATGTAAACTGTTTCTGAGCAAGTAATGCAAGAGCCTGATATTTTAATCAAAGCAGAATTTTAAATACTGCTTTTGTTTTAATTTCAAAAATTCTCTTTTATGTTTTTGTTCTGCACTCTTAAATATGTCCTAATTTTTTACTAAATGATTATTTTCTTCTTTTCTTTAACTCAGTCAGACCATTTAGAGAATTCATTTAGTGAAGTATTGAGGGGTCTAATTGTTT